GCCCTGCCAATGGGTGATCGTGGCAGTATCCTAGCACTAACGTATGGGCTTCCTCAGGAACCACAATCTGATCCTCCTTCCAGAGAAGTTCCTCCCTATTCAGTAAAGGGACAACGGGTAGACCTGGCATTCCTACAGACGCGGTCTGCAATCTAGAACGGAGCTCAGATTGGAGGACTAGGAAATTCCCCGAGGACAGGATAGTATCCGGCTTGGGAATCTCTTCAGGGTCCCCAAAGATGCGGGAGAGCGCGTCTGGCTTCATATTCTTTGACCCTGGCCTATAGGTGATATGGAATGAAAACCGTGAAAAGAAAAGCGCCCACCTGGCTTGACGTGGCCTTAGGCGTTTAGCTGTTCTCAAATATTCTAGGTTCTTGTGGTCAGTGAAAATCAATATTGGGTGTACCGCCCCCTCTAATAAGTATCTCCATTCCTCTAGTGTGCCACCTTGATCGCCAGGAGCTCCCGATCCCCGATATCCTAGTTCCTTTCGGCAGTAGTTAGTTTCCTAGAGAAGAAGGCCACCTGGTGCATGAGCTCCTTGATGCCCTTCCTTTGAGACAGAGTCGCCCCGACTGCGTTTTCGGATGCGTCTACCTCCAAGATATATATAGTAAGGACGGATCAGGGTGGCTCAGAATAGGAGCTGCAGTAAACAACTCTTTTAAGGCTTTGAATGCCCTCTGTGCTTCAGATGTCCACTGGAAGCGAACCCCCTGCCTAGTCAGCTGGGTGATAGGGGACACCAGGCCCGAAAAGTTCTTAATACATTTTCTATAAAAATTTGCGAAGCAGATAAAGCGTTGGACCGCCTTTTTATCAGTGGGTGCTGGCCAATCCAAGATGGCCAAAACTTTCTGGGGGTCCATGGCTATTCCCGTGCTGGAGATGGTTAGACCCAAAAAGGAAATACTACGCTGTTCGAAACAGCACTTGTCTGCCTTGGCATATAGGCTGTGTTGGCGAAGCCGTTCTAACACACACCTCACGTGACCTCTATGGTCCTCCAAAGTTGTGGAAAAGATGAGGATATCGTCTAGGTATACGACGACAAAGATATCCAGGTAGTCCCTGAACACATCGTTTATGAAATGCTGGAAAGTGGCTGGTGCGTTGCATAGGCCGAAGGACATAACCAAGTATTCGAAGTGTTTGAATCTGGTACGGAATGCTGTCTTCCACTCATCCCCCTCTCTGATACGGACTAAATTATAGGCACCTCTCTAATCTAGTTTAGTGAAGACAGAGGCTGACTTCAACCTCTGAAAAAGTTTGGGAACTAATGGCAGCGGGTAGCGGTTTTTGACTGTGACCTTATTTAAGTCCCGGTAATCTACGCAGGGCCGTAGGGACCTGCTTTCTTTTCCACAAAGAAAATGCCTGCCCCGGCTGGTGATGTGGAGGATCAAATAAACCCCTTACGGAGGTTTTTGTCTATGTACTCCTTTAGCACCCCTAACTCCCGTTCGGATAAGGGAAATATCCGCCCAAATGGAATTTCAGACCCTGGGAGGAGATCAATTGGGCAGTCATAAGCTCGGTGCGGGGGAAGAGTATCTGCCCCCCGCTTGCTAAACACATCTAAAAAGCTATGGTAGGCTGAAGGAATGACTTGAGCCAGCTCTGCATCTGTCTCCAGACATAACAGGCATGCGGAACCGGGGAGGTCCTAGGGAGGCAATGCTGCTGGCAATAGGTTGAATGGAAATGGATAGATCCCGCCTTCCAGTCAACCTGGGAATTGTGGGCTCGTAGCCAAGGGAGCCCCAAGATATTTGGGAATAATGGGGATGCTATGGCGTCCAAAACGAAGGAGTTCCTGATGATGGGTGGATACTGTAGTACGGATAGGTGGGGTTTCGTGGTCCACTACCCCTGACCTAACACGGGACCAATCTGCTAAAAAAATATTCAATCCCACCTCCTTCGTTTGTAGGGGAATCTGCTGCTGAGCTGCAAAGTCCAAATCTATAAAGCAGCTACATGCCCCAGAGTCCACAATTGCTGTGGTTACCACAGTTCTCCCAGGCAGCTGAAGTGAAACATGTACCACTAGATAACTGGTGTTGCCCATACCTTTAGAAGTGACCGTAGAAAAAACAGCGGAACACTTACCCATCTTGGCTGGACAGGTACGTACCACATGGCCTGCTTCCCCACAATAGAGGCAAAGATGGTTTACCCTGACGCCTCTGGCGTTCCTCAAGTGTAAGTGTCTGCCGTATCCTTCCTGATAACCCGGGCCTTGGTGTATCCATAGCTTCCTGATTCTGGTTGAACCCGCCGCGACTGCGACTGGATTAAAGCATGAGAAGGTATTCCAGTTGGCCTCTGTCCTTGGTTGGACCTTTCCTGCCTGCGCTCCCGCAACCGGCGGTCAATTTGAATAGTCAAGGTTAAGGCCTCCAAAGTACTGGGTATGTCTACTCGGGCCAACTCGTCCTTCAATGATTCAGCTAAACCCATGCGGAACTGGTGGTGCAGGGCCGCCTCATTCCATTGGGTGTCACTACGCCAACGCCTGAATTCGGCGGCATAGTCCTCCACTGTTCGGTGACCTTGCCTCAGTGTATGTAAGGCCCTCTCGGCCATCGCTGCTTGCTGGGGGGCGTCATACAAGAGTGCCATCGCCTCAAAAAATACTGTCACCGATTCCAACTGTGGGTCTCGGTTCTCTAAGAGCCGGTGGGCCCAGTTTTGGGGTTCACCCTGTAGTAGGGAAATTATGAACCCGAGCCTCACAGATTCTGAGAAAAATGTCTGAGGCTGGAGGTTAAAGTATAGCTGACAGGAGCTATGAAATGCCCTGAATCTACTCCGGTTCCCATAAAAACGTTCTGGTGTGGGGACACGGGGTTCTGGAAAGGGTAACAACCCCGGTGTCTCCCCAGTGGGTTTCCCAGACCCCCTGGTCGGTGTGGCTAAGGTCTGCAAGCGACCACCCAACTCTGTATAACCCTCCCTGTAGGGCCCTAACCCCTTGGTGTAAGGGTCGCCAGCTGTTGGCATTTGTCATCCAGAGGGGATGTTCCCCTTCCAGGCTCAGTCATGGCCGCAAGGTACCGTCAGGCTCCGCCGAACAAGATCTCTAGTGGTCCACAGAACGGGATTCCCCAGGACGCGGAGTCTAAGTCCCAGTCTGCCTTTTCACCAGAGCCCTTGATGGTGGGGATGGACTTGGTGCAAAACTGAAACCAGGTCGCGACCCCTGGGCGCACCCAACTATGGTAGAGGGGTCCTGCTGAGGGTATGTGCCCTGGGATGAGCCTGCTGTGAAGGGGTTGACAGGTCCAGGTCCGAGCGGGATGGATGGATGACCGCCAGGAGTGAGCGTGGTCAGTGCGTGGTACAGACTAGCCGGGTCGGTAACAGTGGGGACAGCTGCGGTACCAAGCAGCAGACAAAGTCAGGTCAGGTCACACGCCGGGTTCAGTAACAGAGGGTCCAAATAATAGTAACGACAGGCAGAGGAATGGTCAGGGACGAGCCGGGGGGTCAGAGCAGGAGAAGGTCAGCATGGATCAGAACAGGCAGGGCCGGCAACAAGGAACGCACTACAGGAACAGGAACAAGACCTTGCGTCAATGAGGACATTGCCTGACCAGTTTAAATAGCGCGCCCTGCACCGTCATTGGTGCCAGGCGCGCTCCCATGAGCATGAGTGCGCATTGCGCGGCCGCAATTGCCGCCGCGGATGCCCAGGTCCTAATGCCCGCATATTGATGTGCCTGGGCGATCCGCGCGTGCGCAGATTCGCGTGCCGCGGCAAAGCCCGAGATCCCTGACACACCATTAAGGAATGGATTAAAAAAGTAGACTTATTATATTAGATGGAAGAAAATTCAGCCATGGCCTCGGTAATACCACGCGATTTAACAAAACTTGGAACGATTGGTTCTTATTCACCTTTTCAGATACTTATGCTACATCAAAAATCTTGAGAAGCCGAGATAGGATTAGGGGAACATACCCAACTCTCTCTATATTTATTTCATTTAATTATTAATACAGGTCTTAAAAGAGTATTACAGCTCATACCATTCAAACCTTACCACAATATTATGACATCTTAAATAAATGATACAACATTTGAAGTTAACTTGCTGTATAAACGATTTCATCAATATACCTTTCTAACAATTTCATATGAGTCTAATCACATTGATATTTTTATACCCAATTGATATTACAATGTACATTGGCATGATATACAGTATTTGGAAGATTTGTTCTTTGTCATCGTACATAGCTTGAGTATATTTTGAAAGAGAATGCTAAATCCTCCTTTTCTCTCTTCTTCTTTCCCCCTTCGAACAGGGAGCCTTTCAAACTGCGTTAGTTGTGCTTATTCTATACTTTTGATGTTATTAACATATTATAAGTACTACATGTTGTACTTACTTATAAGACATACATCACCTCTGTTTGTAAGATTTATTAACTGTTTATATGCTATTGTTTAAATAAACGTTAATGTGAAAAAAAAAAAAAAAAAAAACTGAACTGCATATTCCAGATGAGGTCTTACTAATGCTTTGTACCGGGGTAAAATGATATCTCTCTCCCACTGGAGTCTATACCTCTTTTAATACAAGAGAGGATTTTGCTCGCTCTAGAAAACGCAGCTTGGCATTGCATGCCATTATTAAGCTTGTGACCTACCAGAACCCCCAGATCCTTCTCCACCATTGATTCCCCCAGTTGTACTCCCCCCCCCCCCCCCCCAGTATGTATGATGCATGCATATTCTTAGCCCCCAAGTGCAGAACCTTACATTTATCATCATTAAACCTCATTTGTCACATAGTTGCCCAATTAAAAAAGTGCATTGAGGTCGGCTTGTAAATTGGAGACATCCTGTAATTCCACTGCAAAACTTGGTGTCATCTGCAAAGACTGAAATGGTATTTTTAATCCCAGACCCTATATTATTTATAAATATATTAAAAAGTTAGGGTCCCAAGATCTAATATATATTTTTTTATTCTAACATACAGAGTGTCTGTGGCAGATGTGAACAGTACCGGACGTTATGCTTGTATTTTCAATTCTACTACAGAAGTAAAAGCAACATTTTATATAAACGGTAAGAATGGTAGGAGCAATGGTACATTTACACTAACCATTTGCAGACGTTAGCCTGATGACACAAGTTGCAGAACACAAGCAATCTTATCAAAATGATTCTAAAGTGATTTTTTTTTTTAAGAAAAAATAACAAACATGTCTATACTTCCCTGCTGTGTGCAGTGGTTTTGCACAGAGCAGCCCTGATGCTCCTCTTCGCGGGTCCCCCACATTGACTTGGTAACCCCCAAAATTAGGTGGCGTTCACAAATATCTTTTTGAATTAGAAAAACTAGAAAAATTAGAAGTTACTCTTAGTAACTTTTACACTGCAGGCTTTAAAACTTAAAAGTCCATCTCCTGGTTAGATGCCCTCCATCCCTTCTATCCTCTCCTTGGAGCACCCTCCCCACCTTTTATTATATAAATAACTGTTGTATACCGACTTTTTCCATGGGTGCTTACTCCAGTCACAAGAAGTCACAGGTCCTATTACTCTAGCAGTAGGCAGGTCTTGAATACTTCAGAGAATGATGAGGAGCCACTCCATGCAGCATTCACTTGTGAACTTAAGGCAGCTGGATAACGCACCCCTATGGAGAGGGGGTTGTCCCTGATGGCTCACAGGAAATTGGTTGAATAACACTGGACATCATTAAACTTGGAGGACTGGCGCTGGATCACAGAGAGCTAAATCTGCAGCACATAGTGCATATTGCATAAAAAACTGCCTTTTTATTTTAACCTGTACAGGTTTTTAAATGAGAAGAGCAGGAGTGAAACAATAAACTAACATACTCATCTAGATGGCTGTAGCATCAGTCTAATGCTGTAACTGTCCCCTGCTTGCTCTACACCGAGAACTGGGTGATCAAAGATTGCTCAGTTTTCAGGCCTGCTCTGAGCAGAGAGCAGTGTTAATCAGCACTCTGTGCTCTGACCCTCCAGTGCTCACTGGAGCGATAGACTGTGGTGTGGGTGGGAGCAGCTTGCTCGGGCTTTCATCAGCATGCTGAGGGGCTGAGCCAGCTGCCAGTGAGGAATCTGGGTGGATAACAACATTATTGTTGGGATCCCTGCAGAGCCTGGACTGGCTCTGTTAAGTCCGCCAAGTGGGCTTTAGCCCCTGTTGGGCTGAATCTAAGGGTCATAATAGTGCAGAACTAAGTGCATTCCTCTGACCACAGGATGGCTAATAGAGCTTTGGCCATACTTCTTCTTTAATTCTTATTTAGTAAACTGGAGTTTAACTAATACAGTTGTGCTCAAAAGTTTGCATACCTTGGCAGAAATCATGAAATTTTGGCATTGATATTGAAATTATGACTGAGCATGCCAAAAAACTGTCTCCTATTTTAGAATAGTGATTGTATGAAGCTATTTATATCACATAGTTGTTTGTCCTTTTTTTAAATCATAATGATAACAGAAATCACCCAAATGGCCCTGATGAAAAGTTTGGCCTTGGTACAGACACACAAAGTGAGACACACAAAGTGACACACACAGGTTAAAATGGCAATTAAAGGTTAATTTCCACATCTGTGGCTTTGCAAAATTGTAATTAGTGTATAAATAGTCAATGAGTTTGTTCGCTTTCATGTGGATGCACTGAGCATCCAAAGTCTTGACTATGCCAGTCAATACTGTTCAATCACTTATTAAGAAGTGGAAAATTCAGGGTCTCCCTTGATACCAAGCCAAGGTCAGGTAAACTAAGAAAGATTGCCAGAGCAGTTGTTCAGGATACAAAGAAAAAACAAGTAACCTCAGGAGAAATATAGGCTGCTCTGGAAAAAGATGGTGTGCTTGTTTCAAGATGCACAATACAACGATACTTGAACAAAAATGAGATGCACGGCCAAGTTGCTAGAAAGGCGCCTTTACTGAGCCAATGCTACAAAAAAGCCTGGTTACAATATACCCATCAATACCTCGACACGCCTCACAGCTTCTGGCACCCTATAATCTGGAGTGTTGAGACCAAAATAGAGCTTTATGGTCACAACCATAAGTGCTATGTTTGGAGAGGGGTCAACCAAGGAATTTTGTAAAAGTTGGTGGCAAGATAAATAGCATGTTATCAGAAGATACTGACAGACAATTTGCTTTCTTCTGCATGAAAGCTGTGCATGGGATGCTCTTGGACATTCCAGCATGACAGTGACCTTAAGCACAAGGCCATGTTGACCCTCTAGTGGTTACAGCAGAAAAAGGTGCAGTTTCTGGAGTGGCCATTATAGTCTCCTGACCTTAATATTATGGAGCCACTCTGGGGAGATCTCAAATGTGCGGTTCATGCAAGACAACCAAAGACTTTATATGACCTGGAGGCAATTTGCCAAGTCGAAGGTGCAGTATACCACCTGCAAGATTTTTGGGCCTCAACCAACTATTATGAAGTAGTGCATGCTGCCATTGATGCTAAAGGGGACAATACAAAATATTGAGAACTAAGGGTATGTAGACTTTTGAACAGGGGTAATTTCATTTGTTTACATGTTGGCCTACAGCTGAATATGAATCCCATAAGAAATAATAAAAAAGTGTTTTTGCCTGCTCAGTCATGTTTTCTTTAAAATTGTACATACTGTATATTACCAATTCTCCAAGGGTATGCAAACTTTTGAGCACAACGTATGTTAATATATATTTTAAAAATGCATAGAGGCTCTTACTAAGATGACAAGATGCCTGGCAAGTGTGCTGACTGCATGGCCTACATTACTTAGAGTTGTTTTGAATGGGGTACCCACTCTCCAAGCACTGCAGCTCATCAGATGGCATAGAGTGGGGGGTTCTGTGCAATATACTGTCCTCCTAGAGTTACCTTTCCCTGCCTTGTCATTTTGGATAACCTGCAAAGTAGCAGCTGTAAAGAACTCCCAGTGTTCCTTACTGCTGTCCCATAGATTGTAATAGATCGGCACACATACCGAAATTAGTGGATATGCATTTTAACTCCAAGAGATGTCCAAGGGATTGTTTATTTGGCTACTTTCAGAATGTTCCCTACAAATATTCTACAATTGTGAAACACCTCTCCAAAGTACAAATTTGTTTTCTCAAATACCCTCTCTATCACTTTGTGAACTGATCCACATTTTTGCTGTTCCAGCCCCTGGTGTTCATGGTGGTGGCAAGACCTTAGTGACTTATAATGGAGATTCTACAGTCCTGAAATGTGACAGCTTCAAGTACAATCCTGTGAAGTGGCTCTGGTATAAAGTCAATGGAAATGAGCAGGTAAATGATAGTGCAGAAGCACTGAGGCCTGTGTGGTGTTGTGTCAATGAGCAAATACAGTTGGACTTTCAGCTTGCATTTGAAATCTGTTTTAAATGCATCTGAGATCATTCCAAGTTCATTAATAGGTGTATTTGACCTCCGTCTAATCTGCATGAACCTTCTCCAAGGTGCTTTTGCATTTCCATGGACTTGTATGGGAGAGAAGCACTTTTGAACTAAAGCCCATTGCCATAAACCAGCAATGGGCAAACTACGGCCCGCGGGCCGTATACGGCCCGGCGGACCTTTTAATCCGGCCCGCGGAGCTAGGCTCCCGCAAGGCCAGTGGTCGGCAAGCCGCGGCTCTTTACAAATTTAGATGCGGCTCTCCTGTGTTTCCCTCCTCCTCCTCTCCTCTCCCCTCCCTCCTCTCCTCTCGGATGGCCGCCCCCCCTCTCGGATGGCCGCCCCCCTCCCTCCTCTCGGACGTCAGGACTCTGCAGCTGTCAGGATGTAGGCGGGGCAGCGTGACGAACTCCTCTCACAGTCCTCCCTGAAGACCAGAACGGCGCGGGAATACGAGAGGAACGCGCGGACCAAAGGTAAGTGAATTGACACAGGGGGGGACTTACTATATGGGGGATGAATTACTATATGGGGGACTTACTATATGGGGAATGAATTACTATATGGAGGACTTACTATATGGGGAATGAATTACTATATGCGGGACTTACTATATGGGGAATGAATTACTATATGGGGGACTTACTATATGGGGAATGAATTACTATATGGAGGACTTACTATATGGGGAATGAATTACTATATGGGGGACTTACTATATGGGGAATGAATTACTATATGGGGGACTTACTATATGGGGAATGAATTACTATATGGGGGACTTACTATATGGGGAATGAATTACTATATGGAGGACTTACTATATGGGGGATGAATTACTATATGGAGGACTTACTATATGGGGAATGAATTACTATATGGAGGACTTACTATATGGGGAATGAATTACTATATGGGGGACTTACTATATGGGGGATGAATTACTATATGGGGGATGAATTAATATGGGGGATGAATTACTATGTGGGGGATGAATTACTATATGGGGGATGAATTACTATGGGGGATGAATTACTATATGGGGGATGAATTACTATGGGGGATGAATTACTATAGGGGGGACGAATTACTATATGGGGGACGAATTACTATATGGGGGACGAATTACTATATCATGGGGGACGAATTACTATATGGGGGATGAATTACTATGGGGGATGAATTACTATATGGGGGATTAATTACTATATGGGGGATTAATTACTATGGGGGATTAATTACTATGCTTACTATGGGGGAATATTACTATACTTACTATGGATGACACATACACATCATTCATCTACTCTTGGTCCGGCCCCCGGGTCCAATATATGAACCCATTGCGGCCCTCAAGTCAAAAAGTTTGCCCACCCCTGCCATAAACCCTTAAAGTCTTTGTTATGGATGTGTCGTGCTGTTGATGTGAAAGTTCCTGTTTTATATTTCTACTTTCTTTTTTGCAAGGAATAATTGTGGTGTCATGGTATACAGCCTTGCCCATTCAGTAAAATTCATCTTGGAAAATAACCCTTAAAAAAAACTAGAACTTTTCTGGAGCCTCTATGTTCTACATGTTTGATGTCCTGAGTGTTCAGCTATTCCCCTTCCCAGCCTGGGTGCCATTAGATTTTTCTTTTCAGTTGGCTTGGATTTACAGGGACAGTCTCAGGTTTACGACTCTCTGCACAGTATCTTATATTTAAGGTCCTAGCAGCTACTTATGAGCTTTTTTTTCTGCCCCAGGAAGCAAATAGTGTTATCCTTTGTGACAATGCACACTATTGGAAGCTAGAAATGTTTTTCAAGCTTCTAGGAGGAAAACAAAATACATTTTTGAGGCATTTTTGGGAGTGATTTGCCAGCAGAGAAAAAAACCCACTGAACTCTCCTAAATACTCCAAACACTGCTAACTGCTGCTAAGAGCTGGTTTTCAGCGTTTTTTTTTTTTCCAGTGATTAGCTGGTTGTCAAGGATCTGGCTACTGCATTCTTAATGGGTGACTCATCAGTTGTCAGCGGGATTCCCCACTGACAGCTGAATGTAAACTAAAAAATTGCAGGCAATGGAAATTTGAGGGGAAAAAAAAAAAAAAAAACCCCCCCAATCCATATGGATTGTAAGGGGAACCCCACACCTAAATATTAAGAAAATTATGTGTCCCCCCCCCCCAAACCGTACCAGACCCTTGATCAAGCAAGCAGCCTGGTAGGCCGAGAAAGTGGGGGGCACAAGCGAGTGCCTCCCCTTCCTGAACCATACCAAGCCACATGCCCTCAACATGGAGGATGCTTTGGAGGTAGAGGTGGCTGTGGGGGTCTGAGGGTGAGGGACTTATTGGAATCTGGAAGCCCCCTTTAACAAGGGGGCCCCCAGATCCCACCCCTCATGAATGAGTAGGGGTAAATTGTGTTTTATCCATTGTTTACTAAATAAATTGTCAATACTCCTCTCTTTTTCTTGTATATTGTACCCCTAGTCATTCACCAAAAAAGTGTCCTATATAAAAAAAAAGAGTGCCCCCCTCCTAAGCCATACCAGGCCACATGCCCTCAACATGGGGGGGCTTTGGGGTGGGGGGGGCTCAGTGGTTGTGGGGTTCTTCAGGCGGGGGGATTATTGGAATCTGGGGCCCCCAGATCCCACCCCCTATGTGAATGAGTAGGGATACATTGTACCCCTATTCATTCACCAAAAACGTATCATAAAAACACAGATACAGTTTTTAAAGTGGAGTTCCACTCACCCTGTCAAAGAATAAAAGTCAGAAGTCTGCTGACTTTTAAAAAATAGCCACTTAGCTGTCCCTCAGTCCCGTGGTGTGTCCCCCGCAGCCTGTTTCCCCCGCAGCAGGAGGCCGGCATGTGTGGGCAAGTTGTGAGCGCTGCCACTGCGCATGTCGAGTAGCGCTGCGCTTCATGAATGGTCCTGTAGTCTTCTAGGACCTGACACGTGCCCCAAAAGACCGCCTAGGCGATCGGACCAGAAATGGGAGTGGGTACCTGTCAAATTCGGGTATCCGCCCGACCCCCCAAAGGTGCCAATCCTTAATGGGGAGCGGGGGAGCAGTCCTTAAAGCGGAACATTAGTCTAGTGTCAATCACAATGAATGCCGGCTGGCAACCCAAGAACCCCCCCCCAGAAAAAGCCCCCCGATCCGATCCGACGCCTGACAGCTCTGATGCCTGCAGCCGCTAAATAAACTAAGGCGCAGGGCCACCTGATGATATCACTTGGTAACCCCCACCCCCTTGTGACATCAATGACCGGGGCTTGTTGGCCTGCATGCTAGTATGGGTCTGGTATGTATTCTGGGGGGACCCTTGCAGCATTTTTTTTTTTTTTAATTTTGGAGTGGAGTTCCCGTCAAAATCTATAGCAAATCTAAGGGTCACGTATGGATTTTGTGGGAGGAGCCCATACCATTTATTTTTTTTTTTTTTTTTTAATTTTGGTATGGGGTTTCCCTCAAAATCCATACCAGTCCTAAAGTCCTGGTATAGATTGTGGGGGGAGGGACCCACCAGGCTGTTTTTTTTTCTCAAATATTCATTGTGGGCAATTCTTTTGTTTACAGTCAACTGGTGAGTCATCAGTTGCTAAGGACATGGCATCCGGCTTGCCAGCCTGCTCCTTAACAACCAGCTAAACTGCTGAATGCCTGCAAAACACCAGCACACAAAATGGAAAAATATAGTGAGCATTTTTTATACAGCCTTTTTTCAGATCCTTTTCCTTTTTCTGCTCCTGGTGTGCATTGAAGGCTCTATGATTACTAGCTTATATATAAGCTCCTAGCAGCTACTTATGAGTGTTTTTTTTTTCTGTCCCGTGAAGCAAGTAGTATTATCCTATGTGTCCATGCATACTAATGTAGGCTAGAAGGCTAGAAGCGTTTTTCAAGCTGCAGCTTCTTTTCAGCTTTTTTTTTTAGCATTTTTGGGAGTGATTTGCCAGCAGAAAAAGATGCTGAACGCTCCCGCTAACTGCTGTTAAAATACGGTTTCCAGTGTTTTTTTTAGCTGGTTGTTAAGGAACGGACTGGCAAGCTGGCTGCTGTGTCCCTTACAACGGACAGCTCCTCATCTGCACCCCTGTGACATCATCGACCCAGCATGCCCCGGTCGATGACATCACAAAGGGGCAGGGCCACCCGTTGACACCACTGGGTGGCCATGCCCCTTAATTCATTTAGCGGCGAAGCTCTCAAATTCACTTGGGAGGCTTCCAGATTCTGATAAGCCCCCACCCGTAGACCCCCATAACCACTGCCCAGGGTTGTGAGAAAGGGGACAAGGTGCCTTGGGGGGAGCTACCTTAATGCACCCCCGCATGTTGAGGGCATGTAGCCTAGTATGGTTCGGGGGAGGGGGGGCACTCACTTGTCCCCCCCTTTCCTGTCCTGCCAGGCTGCATGCTTGGATAAGGGTCCGGTAGGGATTTTAGGGGGACCCCATGCTATTTTTTTTTTAAATTTGGCAAGGGGTTCCCCTACAAATCCATACCAGGCCTACGTGTCACTCTCTGTCACTGCCTGCTCTGCATCGAAACTCCTCCCCTTCCCAGAGAGTTGATGATGCAGTAAGTAATTTCCTAATTGCAGCCTCAAACCTGCATTTACAGTTCACTATGACCCTTCTGAGGGTCCTACTCAGCCCCTAAATTAGCATTCATTAAACTTTATAAGGTAAATGAGCATTAGCTTTGTCTTAGTAAACTTTAATGCAAAATTGATTCTTGTACTTTGCTGCCATCTACTGACCAAAGAGCATAATGCAGGCATATCACAGTTTAACATTGCACATCAGTATTTATCCATGCCCCACACCCTTACAATTATTCAAGAAATCCAGGCAGAATTAACATTTCTAAATGTAACATTCTAAATCTTTACTTTTTGAATTCAGTCCCACTCTATATACAGTTCGTAATTTATTACAATATTTTTTTCTTTTATAAAAAAAAATATTTTTTTTTATTTATATATATATTATATCTTTTTTTGTTATTTTAGGTGCTTTTAAATATCTCTTCAGAAAGGTACAATCAAGTCAACAAAACAGCCAATGAGACAAAGCTGCACATATCAGACCTGACTGAAGTAGACAGCGGTGCATATGTGTGCAAGGCAGTATTTGAGACTGGAGCCAGTGAAGGACAAGTTGACATCGATGTGCTCAGTTTAATGGTGCCATTTAAGGTCTTTCTTGCGATCGTAGCAGAAGTTGCTGTTTTAGTAGCCGTTATTTTAGGCTATGAATTGCTAAGCAAGAAGAAACACGTTGAAGAAGGTAAGAGATTGTCAGCTTTGTGCTGTAAACTTTTAGTTTCATCTAGTATAGACATGTGTTTTGTTCGATTTAGTTAAATTAATTTAATTCGTTTTTTGGAATTCGTGCTGTTTATTAAAATTTGACCGAATAATCCAATTCATAATCCACAATCCAGATGTGTTTTTGATGGTATATGGGCTATATGAAGAGTTACATGACCATTTTGGAAATTTTCTATTTCAGCAAGATTTTCCCAGTGCCTTTGTTCATCCCTATTCACATCACCATAGTGCAGCTCACAATCTTTTGTAAAGTATTTTAGTCTTTTCTAATCTATTTTATTCTTTTCTTTTATATTCTATTCTAATGTATTCTATTCAAATTCATTCTATTCAAAATTTGAATTTCAGTTATGTTCTTTCTATACTATTCTATTCTTTGATTCTCTATTCTAATCTTTTCTATTATATTATATTCTAATTGATTCTATTCTATTCATTTATTTTCTGTTCTATTTTACGCTGTTTTACTCTATTATTTTCTATTCTATTCTTTGATTTTCTATTCTAATCTTTTCTATTCTATTCTAATTGATTCTGTTCTTTTCCATTCTATTCTTTGATGTCTATTCTAATCTTTTCTATTCTAACAGACTCTATTATTTTCTATCCCTTTTATTTTCTATTCTCTCTTGCTCTGTATTACTCTGTTATTTTCTACTGTATTCTATTCTATTCCTTTATTTTCTAGTGTTTTTTTCCTCAATTTTTTTCTATTCTAGTCTTTTATGTTCTATTCTATTCTATTTCTTTAGGCTGGCCATACACTATACAATTTTCTGTCCAATTTCTGCCCAATTTCCTTTAGATTTACCTTCAATATGGTGCATTAATTGGATACAATTGAAAGTGTTGTTTAGGTTTGACCTCATATTATATGGTTTTTTGTAAATTTAAAGCAAAATTCTCAAGAAAATTGTATAATGTATGGCCAGCCTTATTTTCTGTTCTATTTTATTTTATTCTTGTTTTCAAATTTGAACTGGTTTTCGAATTTGTTTTCAACTTTGAATTTGTTTTCAAATGTGTTTCGAATCGATGCGAAATTCAGCCAAATTTAGTTTCATTATTTCAGATTCGTTTAAATTCGTTACAATTGTAACGAGTAAGACCCCAGTCACACTGGTATCATGCCATAAGACTTGCAAATCGCATGCCAAGTCGCACCCTATTGTCCGCAATTACAGTGGTCATATCGGTGTGGTTCTGACTTGGTCAGAGCTGCACCAATTTCTAAAGTAGTACACGCATTACTTTTGGTGCAATTTGCACAGACATTTGTGTCGGATGGCCCCCGCAAGCCAGGAGTACTAGGTGTCATTCTAGACTCCAATCTGTCTTTCCAGCCCAGGTCCAATCGCTGACAAATTCATGTAGACTCCACCCTCCGCAACATCTCCAAGATATGACCGTTCCTAACCCCAGAAACTACAAAGCAACTCATACACTCCCTTATTATATCACGACTTGACTACTGTAACTCCCCCTCACCGGCCTACCTCATCACAGGCTATCCCCGCTTCAGTCTATCCTGAACTCAGCGGCCAGACTCATCCACCTTACTAACCGCTCCGTATCTGCCTCCCCCCTCTGCCAATCCCTCCACTGGCTTCCGATTGCCCAACGCATATAAAATTCAAATTACTAACATTGACGTACAAAGCTGTCCATATAACCGGGAGAGAAGCCAACCCCAAACTACATCACCGACCTGATATCCATCTACCACCCAAAACGCCCCACCTCTCCCGCTCCTCACAAGACCTCCTACTCTCTAGTTCCCTAGTCTCCTCCTCCCATGCCCATCTCCAGGACTTTCAAGGGCTTCCCCCATCCTCTGGAACTCACTACCCCAATCCATCAGACTGTCACCTACCCTCCTCACCTTTAGACGCACCCTGAAAACCCATCTCTTCAGGGAAGCCTACCCCACCCTCACCTAATTGCTGATATCCTCCACTCTTCCTACCACTCCCATCCCCCACAGCTATTTCCTCCTGTACCACTATCCCCCCCTCCTAGATTGTAAGCTCCAAGGAGCAGGGCCCTCAAACCCCTCGTGTCTTGTATTGTATTGTTACTGTACTGTCTCGTGTACTGTCTCCCATTATAATGTACAGCGCTGAGCAAACTGTTGGCGCTATATAAAATCCTGTATAAATAAATAATAATGTCTTGCAAATCACACCTCAAATCGGCATCTCACCTGACTTCTCACCTGAAATCATGTGACTTCACTGTAAGACCTGCGATTTCAAAGTCGGGATCAGTGTTACTGGGGTGTAAGGAGAGAAGGGCACTGAGTCATTGAGGTTTTTCTAAGCAGCAGTAGTATGAGTTCCGGACACACAGTTAGCCATGGGACATCAAAGAATGTTTTTTCTAGACTCAATAACCTAAATAAACGTATAAATTATTTGACTTTGTGATGGAATGACGACATGTAATATCTTCTGTGTACATGCTGGTGATGGCACAAGGTTGGAAGCGCACACACAGTCTTCAATGTCTTTGTTTGCTTTTAGCATTGAAAATGCACTTCACTGACAATATGTGTTCACATGTGTCCTTGTGTTTGGCATAGTAGAGGACCAATGCACATTAGTGCATGTTACATGACATTTTATGAGCTGCCATTGAAGCCTAAGGGTCAAAAACACGTGCCAATGCTTTAATTTCCTTTTTTGTCCCCCAATTATGGGAAAGTGCAAAAGAGTGAAGAACCCTATTGAAGAGAATGGCAACCTTTTTGTTTGTGTATGAGCCTTGGTTCACATCTATGCATTTTTTGGTGCGTTTTGCAGAAATGCATTACAGTCCATTTAACATGATTTCCCTACAGATCTAGTTCACATCTATGTGCGTTTTGAGCCGGCGCGTTTTCTGGAAGGGTGTCAGGGACTTTTTTTTTTTTTTTTTCATGCATCAGCAGATTGCGTTTTGTGTGTAATAGAGTTCAATGGACCCGACGCTCCAAAAATGCAGGTGTTGCGTTTTTTTGCATTATGCGTTGCTTTTTTTGGCTAATAGGAAAGTATGATAGTCCTGTTCATGTAGTGCGACTTTGATGTGACTTTACACTCTCTGGCACTTAAAGTGGAGTTCCAGTTGAAAAAAAAAAAGTCAGCAGCTACACTTTTAAAATACAGACACTCACCTGTCTCTTGGTCCAGTGATGTCCTCACCACGGCTGGTTTCCCCAGCTGTCTTCTCTGCCTGGCGCCGGCATCTTCAGTGTGGGCATCCGGCTGTGGCAGCTTGCAGCCCACTGGGCATACACAAGAAGCGCTGTGAATGGTCCTGTAGTCTTCTGGGACCTGGCACATGTCCCAGAAAACTACAGGGAGGGAGGTGGGAGGACAACTTCCGCTTCTGATCACCTTAGGCGATCGCAGTGAGAATGGGAGCAGGTACCTGTCAAATTCCCTAAAGGTGCCAATCCTTAATGGGGAGTGGGGGACAAAAGGTTAAAGTGAAATTTCCCCTTTTGGGTGGAGCTCCGCTTTAAGTTGCGTCACAGTTGCATCAAACTCACATCAGAGTAGTGCAGGAACCTTTATGTGTCCAAAGTCACATTTTTATAGGAAAGTATAACAGTTCTGTTCATGTAGTGTGACTTTGATGCTACTGGAGTGCCAGAGAGTATAAAGCCGCATCAGAGATGCACTACATGAACAGAACTGTCATACTTTCCTTTTAGCAAGAAAAAAATTCAAAACACGTTAAAAACGTGTGTTCAAAAATGCAAACTACACTGCAAAATGCCCTGGAAATACTCATCAATCGAAACCACATAGATGTGAACCTTTCCTTTAATGTGCATTAGGGAACATGCATTAAATCACACAGGTGTGAGTGGGGCCTTGGTTTGGACAGCATGCATACTCCTTGGTGAGACACATCAGATGAAGATAGAAATAGGTAAGGGTCAATTTGTAGACAAGCACAGTAGTCTGTAATTGTTTAAAAAAAAAAAAAAACAACTTTGTGCATATGATGGTGCCCTAATTGTTCGGAATTATAGTGATCTATAAATGTATTATCCATTCTTTGTTTTTAATGCTACTTTAATTCTCTTCTACAGATGTTAAAAGTGAAGATGAACAAATGACACACCTGTAAGAACCTGCCGATGTTTCTTCATTACTTATTAGTCTCATTGTGAAATGTCTAATATTTAATATTTGTAGTTAATGTTCTTTTTTTTAGAGAAATCTGAAGAAAACGGCACAAGTGAAGCAAGCACCACAAGACAGAGGAAAGCTTAATATATAAGGTAATTGAAGTTCTAATTCTATATACGAGATTCTGCACTTCTGGGTAGGGGGCTTGCGTAGCTGCCAGCTCTCCGCTTCTGCTGTGATTAGTTACACCCGAAGCTCATCAATGGGTGCTGGCCATTGGATGACCGCCGTCACCCATTGATCGACAAGGAGACACACTGGATGGAGCTCTGAATATGTAAACAATGCAGAGCTCCATCCTGTCAGTGGGGATGTGCTGGATTTTGTTTTCCTACAAAGCAGGGAATAAAATCCAGCACATCCCTTAGTAAAAACATGTAAAAGTAAACACAAAAACATTGGTTAGGCGCACAGTTAACCCTTTGATCGCCCTAGATGTTTTTTCCCATTCCCAGTCAGTGTCATTAGTGCAGTGATAGTGTATATTTTTAGCACTGTATTAGTGTCACTGGTTCCCACAAAGTCTCAGTTAGTGTAAGATTATCGCAGCAATATCGCAGTCCCGCTATAAGTCGCTGATATCCGCTATTACTAGTATAAATAAATGATCCAGTATATAACCCATAGTTTGTAGATGCTTTAATTTTTGTGCAAACTAATCAATATACATATTAGTATTGGCCTAAATTTATGAAGAAGTTTGTTTTTTTTTTTTCATTTTTTAATATGTTTTGTAGCAGAAAGTAAAAAAATATAGTTTTTTCTCCAAAATTGTGTTTTTCTGTTTATAACATAGTGGTGATCAAATACCACAAAAGAAAGCTCTATCTATTTGTGGGGAAAAATTAATTTGTGTACAGAGGTTCATGACCACGCAATTGTCAGTTAAAGTAATGCAGTGCTGTATAGCAAAAAATGGCATGGTTATGAAGGGGGGGGGGGGGGGGTAAATCTTCCAGAGGTCAAGTGGTTAAAGTGGTTCAAAAGGTAATTTTTTTCTTTAAAATAAAAAACATGTTATACCTACCTTCTCTGTGCAATGGTTTTGCACAGAGCAGCCCCGATCCTCTTCTCAGGCCTCCCACTGGTGCTTGTGTCCCCCCCCCCCCACCGAGTGCCCCCAGTGCAAGCTGCTGTCTCTGGGGGCACACATGCATGCTCACTCCTGAACAGCACCTGAGCAAATGTTCAGGCCAAGAATAATTTGAGTTGGCCTGCTTATCTTGCCCCCCCCCCCATTTATTGGGATAGGTGGGATTGACTGTAAATAAAGTTGATGATGCAATGTATTCTCTAGTTGGTGTACTGATTTATCTTCCTTTCTTTATGCAGAGATGCAGCTCCTTTCCACAGAACTATCCAGCCGACGTCAGCAGTCTTCAGTATGAACCAAAGTTTTGGCTGCAACTTCAACCTGTCCAACACTCTTGAATGTCCGTGGCTTCCAAGCAATAACAATATATGCATACTATAATATATATGCTGCTAACGTACTGAAAAATAGATTCTTGCCTAGAATATAATTACAGGTGTGGCTGTTGTGTTCAAATCCAGCTCCAGCCAAAACTGCTTTACTATAGAGTAAATACAAGTCAGGACCTCTGCAAATGTTTTCTCACTTTCTGTGACCTGATTGCAGAGATTTCAGTACACACTGATATCCGCTGTGTCATCAATAAACCCACTAGTCATGGTCCAGAGTTCACTTTGTCCTGTTTGCAGTCACCGAGGGCTTCTGGTAACTATAATATGTAAATTACTTAAAGCGGGGCTCCACCCAAAAGGGGAAGTTCCGCTTTAAAGACTGGTTCCCCATGAAGGATTGGCAACTTTGGGGAGCGGGGGGGGGGGGAGTGGAGGTACCCTAAATTGACAGCTACCCACACCCACTTCCGCTGCGGTCACCTAGGACACTGGAAGTGGAAGTTGCCCTTCCCCCCCTCCCTTCCCATAGTCTTCTGGGACACGTGACGGGTCCCAGAGGACTATGAGACCATTCAGAATGGGCAGTGCTACTTATGCATGTGCAAACTGTCACAGTCAGGTGCCCACACTGAAGATGCCAGCACCGGGAACACCAGACGTCCAGTAAAACGAGCTGCGGAGAGGATACTGCGGGATCATGGGACAGGTAAGTGGCTGTTTTTTTAAAAGTCAGCAGCTACAGTTTTTGTAGATGCTGACTTTTATTTTTTTACAGTGTGACTGGAACTCCTTTTTAAAGTGGTTGTAAACCTCAGACATGAAATATGAACAAAGCATATCCCTCTATAGTGTGCGCATGTCTCAGTCCAGAGCACTAAGTGTTATATCTGCCTCTTTCCTATGCAATTAGCATGAATCACGTATTCCTGACACCAAGAGAAAAATGGTGACAGGTGATGGACCTCCAGCACACAGCCTGTGATTGACAGCCTCAGCTCTGTTCCTGTGTGCTGCGTGAAGGGGGGGGGTGGTCTCTCTACCTCCATTCAGATTTCAGAGCTCTCCTCACTGATATAATGTAAGCTGCCCACCTGCTGCTTTTCAGAGCTGAGAAATCCTGTACTTTGAATGGATGTAAGGGACAGATGGCTGCAGATGAACAGGTACAACTTATGTAGGATGATCTGTTTCATGTCTCTGTATCACCTGAGCTCAGTCACTTCACTGGGTATATGTGAAGGTTTACAGCCACTTTAATTCCAAAAACCTAGGTGAAGAACAAGCCTCATATGTGTTTGTTCTTTGAGTTGTGATTGAAACGTAAGCTTCTGTCTGCTAGTTCAGATAAACGGTATTTATGAATGCAGCAGAAACCAAATACCATTCAGTGATGCAGGTTTATATTTATAATGTAAGTATGATACTATGTGTAATACCTCAGCCAATACTGTTGAAATGTCAATTATATTTCCAAAGTACAAAATTATTTCACTGTGAGATGTTGACCATTAAAAAAAACAAAAAAAAAAAAAAAAAAGTTTGCAAACAACCTTTATTCTGCCTTTCCTCCTGTGAGTTGTAAATCATGATACTTCTTTTATATAGAACTCCATTATTAGTGCTTTAGTAGAGGAACAAGTGACTAGCCATCAACTGGAGTCACATAGATTGAACTGAAGTTGTACCGGCTCTTCTGCTGTCCTGAAAATGCAGAAAGTGGGAGACGGTACCTGTCAAAACCAGGTACCTGCCCCCCCCCCCCCCCCCCCCAAGTGCAAAAAGCGGCAGCAGATGGGGGGAGGAGGCAGATAACTGTTTTTGAATTGGAACTGGCAAATATTTTAGGAGCAGAAAATGGCCGCACGGTCACAGTATTAGGCCCCATTCACACCTGAGCGCCGTGGATTTTTTTTTGCGAGTTTTTTGTGCATTGTTGTACAAATGGGACGCCCATTTGCTTGAATGGGCTGCCCTATGTGCAACAAATGCCCTAAAGTAGTTCCTCGCCTGTCATGGAGCATTGCTTATTTTTTCAGTGCGCGTAGTTGCGCATTTGTATTGCCTTCTGTCATGGAACAAAAATATGGTAAAATGCACATTTGCTAACCAAATTTTGGGTGTCATTAACAATTAAAGGCACAGTAAGTGCGATACGAGTGTGCAGTGCATTTCTGAAATGTGCACTTCTGTGTGTTTGGTCGTTGCGTGCGTTTAGGAAACGTGCAGGTGTGAAGGCATCCTTAGCGACAATAAAAATAAAGCCGAAAACCTAAAGAAATATCTTTGCAAAATGTATATTTTATGTAGTCTACCAATATTCCCAAACATTCACTAAGGGGATGAATTCTGCTTTCACATATGCTCTTCGCTAGGTGACAGCCTACGAGCAAATCCGATATTTCTGAGAGTATAGTTAGATCAATTTACTACAAACCGGTGACTCAGCCGAGGCAATTCAGACTTCAGAATCCATAATCTTTTGTGATACGGGAGAAAACTGGGGCACGCTCAGTGAAGTAGTACAACAATCAGTGATGCTACAAAAGGCAATAACTCACAGCAACAAATTAGGTTTCACTTTGCTGAAACCACAAGTGAAATACGACTTCTGCGGTGTTGCTGGAGGTTATTGTAATTTACTCATTGCTCTGTGCCTTAGAGAATCAGCCTGCAGGAAATATATATATGGATATACACCCAACAGATCAGTACTGCCACTGAGACACCACAATGTTCCAGACAGTACATAGATCAGGCCTGATAGAATGGAAATATGAATTACCCCACAAAATGTTCACAGTGTGACTGATGGGGGCCACCTGCTGGTATACTGTATATTCCTGGTTTATATATACAGGTGAAACTCTAAAAATTAGAATATCGTGCAAAATCTCATTTATTTCAGTAATGCAATTTAAAAGGTGAAACTACTAATATATGAGATAGACTCATTACATGCAAAGCAAGATAGTTCAAGCCGTGATTTGTCATAATTGTGACGATTATGGCTTACAGCTCATGAAAACCCCAAATCCACAATCTCAGAAAATTAGAATATTGTGAAAAGGTGCAATATTCTCGGCTCAAAGTGTCCCACTCTAATCAGCTAATTAAGTCATAACACCTGCAAAGGGTTCCTGAGCCTTTAAATGGTCCCTCAGTTGGTTCAGTAGGAATCACAATCATGGGAAAGACTGCTGACCTGACAGTTGTGCAGAAAACCATCCTTGACACCCTCCATAAGGAGGGAAAGCCTCAAAAGGTAATTGCAAAAGAAGTTGGATGTTCCCAAAGTGCTAAATCAAAGCACATTAATAGAAAGTTATGTGGAAGGGAAAAGTGTGGAAGAAAAAGCTGCACAAGCAGCAGGGATGACTGCAGCCTGGAGAGGATTGTCAGAAAAAGGCCATTCAAAAGTGCTGGGGACTTTCACAAGGAGTGGACTGAGGCTGGAGTCAGTGCATCAAGAGCCACCACACACAGACGGATCCTGGACATGGGCTTCAAATGTCGTATTCCTCTTGCAAGCCGCTCCTGAACAACAAACAATGTCAGAAGCGTCTTACCTGGGCTAAAGAAAAACAGACCTGGTCTGTTGCTCAGTGGTCCAAAGTCCTCTTTTCTGACGAGAGCAACTTTTGCATCTCATTTGGAAACCA